CAGTGGCCTCATACTTTAACACCTCTGAGGTTTCAGCAGGTGTAACTGCAGGAAGGGAAGTGGATATGGCAGGGGAGACCGTAGGGGCCCAGTCTAGAACAGTCTAGTATATTCCAGTTTAAGACCAGGCATACCTGAAAGCCACACTCCCCTCCCTCCCACCCCTCATTCATTCACACAGGCCTGGGTCCTGCTTGGTGGTGAGAGGTTTGGAGGAGGGAAGGGAAATGGCTGCCCCAAGGCATCTGGATTTCTCTCCCAGTCACTGTTTTGGCAGGAAGTAGCCAGTTTGGACAGAGGTCCTGGATAAGCCTTCTAGGTGGATTTATCTCGTTGTTTCTGATAATCCTTTTTTATGCTGGTTTACAACAAAGCCTCTTATACTTGGGGTGCCTTCCTGGCCAGAAGGCCCACTGGGTCACTTGGGACAGGGGTCAAAGGTCAGAATTACATGAATGAGTTGCCTGGGGTCAGGGCTGGAGAGACCTCTCTATCAGCCTGCAGGTAAAGTGGGAAATTTCCAGTCCTTGTTTTTCTTCTTAGAGAAATGTGATCATTTTGCAGAGAAAAAGAGATACCAGGGAGTGATATGTGTATGTGTGTGTGTGTGTGCGTGTGCGCGTGCGCACGCGCTTACTGCCCCAGAACCTAGAGGGGTACTAAGTACATCCTTAAGCCACTAAAACACCTTCACCTAACTTCCAACTGACTGCCACCCAGGACAGCGGGCTCATTGATCCTCATTGCCATGGTAGTGACATTATGACTACCATTTACTGAGGGCGTATGATGTGCTGGAGTCGCAAAAGATGGGGGTTAGGGGCGCCTGGGTGGCTCAGTGGGTTAAGCCTCTGCCTTCGGCTCAGGTCATGATCCCAGGGTCCTGGGATTGAGCTCCATATCGGGCTTTCTGCTCAGCAGGCAGCCTGCTTCCCCCTCTCTCTCTGCCTGCCTCTGCCTACTTGTGATCTCTCTCTCTGTGTCAAATAAATAGATAAAAACAAAAAACAAAACAAACAAACAAAAAAAACAATGGGGGTTAAGAGCCTAAGCTCTAGAGCCTGGCTGCCTGGGTTCTAATTCTAGCTCCTCTGAACCTCTCTGAACCTCAGTTTCCTTATCTGTAAAATGTGGCTGATCCAAGACTTCAGTAAGTCCAAGATGCTATCCATTAAAATGTGCACCATGTGTTCATGGACTATAAAGAAAGAAGTAACAACTGTTAACCTGTTCATTAGTAAGACACATTCTGCTTCCGGAGATGTTAAATTTCAAGGAAATGCACATGTTAGAATCCATGGACTACAGCAAGAATAACCATCCATGTGGGGCTCTTGGGCCTAGGCTGGCAGCTGGCACTTAGAAAAGGCTCATGCACGTTAGCTGGTGGTGTTCCAATACCCCCGTTTTACAGCTGAGGAAATGGAGGTCAAAGTCACTTCCCAAGGTCACCCAGCAAGTAGTAAATGGGAGAGTCAGATTTGGATTCTCTTGCCTGTGTGTCTCTTAAGTGGCCCCAAAATCATGTCTGGTAACTGAGCACCCACACCACGGAGGAGATGAGAAAAACGTCAGGAACAGGCTGACACCATGTCTGTCTGTATGTCTGTGTGTCTGTGAGTAGGTCCTCCGCTCCTCTGGGTCTGCATAGCCTCATCTGCAGGAATAGAGCAATAGTGTGGACGCTGCGGGGGTGCTCTGAGGATTTGTGAAGGTGACTCAGGTCCCACACATATGCTCAGTAAACCTTTATCCTCTCCTCTCTTCCCTTCTCCACCTCCCACGCTGCAAGTGGCTTTTGGGGCACTACTGTTAGCCACACAAACCCCAAGGCCAGAGCAGTTGCCAAAGATACTTGGACTGACTTGCCTGGAGTATCTGAGCCTCAGCCACCCTGGACACTTGCCTGATACCTGCTTATGCTCAGACCTCAACCTTCTCCCTGCACCTGCTCTCCGACTGGGCTCCCAATACACACCTGGCAGGCACAGCCAGGCTGGGAGCCCCCAATTCCTCTGCAGAGAATTCCTCTCGGAACTGTTTAACGAGCTTCAAAGTGGATACCTGGGGGGCTCAGTCCATTAAGCATCTGCCTTCAGCTCAGGTCATGATCCCAGGGTCCTGGAATCGAGTCCTACATCGACTCTCTGCTCAGTGGGGAACCTGCTTCTCCTTCTGCCTCTCTCTCATGAATAACAAAGCAGTATCTTTAAAAAAAAAAAAAGTGGATGCCTGGGGTATCAGTGTTGGTTTAGATTTTCTTGTAAATTTCAACACCTGTGTATTGTGCAACCTTGCCAATTTGTTTAAAGCAAACTTTTAAAAGTATACTATAAGGCAAAATGTCAAGATCCTAAGAACACAACCTGATGAATTTCCACTATATTCACACTCCAGTACCAGCCCTCCAGTCAAACAGAACCGTACGTGCCCCCAAGGGTCACCACTACACTGACTTCTTGCACGCAGGTCCATTTTGTCTGCTTTTGCACTTTCTACATATGGAATTATTCTGTGTGAGTCTTGCGTGTCTGGCTTCTTTTGTTCAACATGGTGTTTATTTTCTTTGCCATTAGCAGCAGCTTATTGTTACATAGTATAGTAGAGACCTATATTGTTATATTGTTACATGGCTTTATCACAGTCTATCCATCTCTCTGTTGAGGAACATTTGGATTAGCTCCAGCGTGGGGCTATTATGAATGGGTTGCTGTTAACATGGCAGTGCATTCTGGCAGATCCGTGGGTGAACACCAGTATGCATGCCTGTTGCGTACCTACTTAGAGGAGAGAATGCCGATTGGGGGGTTATTTGTATATTTCACTTTGGTAGCCCGTGCCAGGCTGTGATTGTACAAATTTACATCCCACCAGTGGCTGGCGGTTTCTCCAGTAGCCCCAGAAACCACAGGGTAGTGAGAGAAGCATAGGTTTTAGCAGCTGCTCCTGGAGAGGAAGATGTGAGCAGAGAAAGAAGATGGGGTGGATGTTTGAAGCCTGTGACTTGTTTGCGGCCACCCTAGGAAGGAGAGTCTGGAAGTCTGGGAGCCTGGTGCGGTGATCTGTTCTGCCATATGCGGGGGGGACGGTCTTTTCTGCGCTCTGGCCTGTAATGAGCGTAGGTGGGTATTCAAGAACCGAGTATCCAGGGGAGGAAATCCGCCCACGGTCTCCACCGTCCCCAATATTTAAATGTCAGTCTGGTTTAATTGGCTGCACAACCCACTCCCTCTCCCTCTCCCGTAGCAGCCATAGCAAATGTATCCCGAGGACAGCAACAGCAGGGGACAGCCTTGAGTCACCGTGGCTGCCTCCTGCCAGCTTCCTGGGCAACCTTGGACAGGTGAATCAGATTCCCTGGGAGTCCGCTTCCCTGAGCATCTCACCTTAAGGAATTGAAGAAATAAATCTTAGTCGAAGATCATGGGTAGCATTTTGGACGGATATATGGGTGGATGAGTGGATACATAGCTAGGTATATCGGCAGGAATATAATAGCTGGACAAACAGATGTGATGTGTGTATTAATATATAATACATATTTGCACGAGGGTGTGTGTGCCTTTGCCATTTTACTGATCATTTACTACTTCTCCTAACAGCCAGCATTTAACATATGTCAGGCATGGAGAGATGCCCGTCCCTTTACATACCTGATTCCATGTGAGTCTCCTTAACAATCTTGTAAGGCAGGAACTATTGACCCCATTTTACAGATCATGAAAATGAGGCTCAGAGAGGTTAACTCACCTGCCTGGCGTCACACAGCCACTAATTGACAAGCCAGGATTCTAACCCACAGAGTTAGACTAAGGCCCCTGTTCCAACCGTTGTGCTACCCTTTCCACCATGTGCCAGGCATTTCCCTGGCCTCTTCTCATTCAGTTCTCATAGTGACTCTACAAGGTAGGTGTTCTCTTTGATAGCTGTGGAAACCAAAGCCCAGAGGGGTTAAGTAACCCACCCAAAGGCACACAGTAAAGAGCACAGCTGGGATCCAAACTGAGGTCCCTCCGCCAACAGTTCTAGCTCCAAGCACACGCTCTCGGCTAAGTCCAGCATGGAACAAGGGCTTGAAAAATACTAAAGGAAGGACTACGAGTCTTAGCGATGAAGACCTAGATTAAAAGAAAAATTCAAGCCATTATTTTCACACAAGATGGAACACGAACTTTCCTAATACCATCCCTTCCTCCTTCAGCCAACACCATGAGCCAGACATGGTGCCAGGGGCTGGGAATGTGGTGGTGAATCTAGAAATCATTCATCCCCTCACCCGTTCCGTGACCATGTACTGAGGGCCCGCTGCGTGTGTGTGCCAGGAACTGAGCTCACTGCGGGAGGGACAGATGGAGGGGCATGCAGGCAACTAAACGGTGAGGTGTGACCGTCACTGCATTCACGTCCTCTGTCGTCTTGTCATTTATCTTACACCACTGGTTCTTGCAATGAACTCAGTGAGGCTGAAAAAGTGAGGCCCTCCATCTCAACAGGCATCTGGCATGGAGGGAGGAGGACCAGTGTCGACACGCCGCCGTCTGAAGGCTTGAATGCATCGTTGGCCGATGGTACTTGGTGGACGTGAGCCACCACTTTGCTGGGGTTTTATCACTGTCCCTCAGCAGCTTCGGGCGAGCCAGAGCAGCTGCGACAAGTGGCTGGCAGAGTGCTGTCTGAGTGCTGTCTGAGGACCCCAGAAGTTGTTGGTTTATGCGCGGCTCTCCTGTGCAAGTCTGGGACAGATGGAACGTGGCGAGCCTGCCCTCTGGACTGGGTTAGCTTCTGCAGGCACCTCGGTGCCAGGGCGGGTGTGTCGGGACAGAACGTGCCCCCCGCCCCGATCTGCATCCTAGAGCCAGATCTGAGGTCCAGTTACAGGCTCGGTATCCGAGAGGCAAACTGGTGGCACCTGACGTCTTACTTGTCCCATCCAGCCACCATTGTGGGTCACTCGCCTTTGAACAACTGCTGATCGCTTCTTTTGTCCTTTTGCTTTCCAGCCTGTGTAAGGGACGGACGCTCTATTCTGTGGTGCGGGACGCCAAAATCGTCTTGGATGTCAACAAAACGAGGCAGATTGCCCAAGAAATTGTGAAGGTACCGTAGGGTCTGGGGCTCCCTCCTGAGATGCATGGTCTGGCTTCAGAGCAACAGTCTGGATTAAAAAAAAAAAAAAAATTAGACTCGATCTGAAAAATACCAGACTGTAGGAGAGGAGGGGTTTTGCCCAGATACCACATTAGGGTTGGTCCCCCAATGTTTGGCTGCCATCTGTTGCCTCATCATCATGATAATTGGGCCCGTGTGGGGACCGGGGGAAGTTTGTGCGGCTAGAATCCCTTACCCCTTGGATACTTGAATCCCCATGAGCGCACACCATCTCTCTCCGCAGCTGCTGGGGAAACATCCAATTGTTGCAAGTTGTTTGGGATTAAAACAAACTGGAACATCCTGTGTTTTCTGGCAGGTGCCTCATTAGTCAGTTGACTGGGGCTTTGAGTTCCCATTGGAAGTGTCAGGACTAAGCTGTTAGAAGAGATAAAATGTGACTGCTCATAAAGGCGAAAAACCAAAAATCTAGAGACTCACCCTTGATCGAGACCTCCAGGAGACTCTCTCCTCCGTGGTCTTGATCACTGACTCGTGATCCATCCCTGGAGGAAGGCAGGGGTTTCTGCACTGATACGGGTTAAGAGGATATAAAACACATCTTCTGCAGAGAAGTTATGTTTTAAAAAAAGGAAGTGCAGGGAGGTGGTGAATGGAATTCCTTTCTCTGGGGACCTCCTCTCAGTTTTTGTCTTCACTTTTTTTCCCCCCCACTAGGGACATCTTTCTTTGTTTCTTCTTCAGGAGGTAGAAGAGCTAGGTGGGAACAGTTGGGCGGGGGTCTGAGGGTGGTGGCAGATGTGTGTCCTGGGGACCCTTCCTGTTCCCACTTGCCGTGACTTCTCTTACCCTGCCTCTGAGCCTCTGCGTTGGGGTCCCCTGAACTGCGGCTGTTTGGGGGCGCTGCTGTAGGAAAGGCAAGGAGGGTGAGCCCAAGCCAGAGTAGTGGCAGCAGCGAACTCTCAGGTGTTCCCTGAAAACTCCCATCTCCTTGCTCCCTGCAGGGCATGGGCTACCTCCACGCCAAGGGGATCCTTCACAAGGACCTCAAGTCAAAGAATGTCTTCTATGACAACGGCAAAGTGGTGATCACAGACTTTGGGCTCTTCAGCATTTCCGGGGTGCTGCAGGCTGGCAGGTGAGCGGCGGGGCAAGGGCCCAGTGGAGTCCTTGGCCAATGGCTGTCGGGGGATGGGAAGTCAGCCACCCAAATGGTATCCGTGACCAAGACTGGGTGCAGGGCCTGAGGTCGCTTAATTGGGTGGCTAGGCTATTGCTGATGCTAGAGCAAGTCATGATTCCCTGGGGGAGGCTCTCTCTCAAGTGGTGCTCTTGCACGCATGGGCATGATTGGGCACAGAGCATCCCTAAATGCTTGAAAGCCTTTGCCGTTATATTTAACTGGAAGATCCCCCTTTGCCCCAAGGACCCACCTGGAAGTTGGAATCCCCCAACAGTCCTTGCTCGAAGTTTTCTTATGAATTGATCCATTTTATGCAGCAAGAGTACTGAAGGATTTAAAGTCAGACCCACCTGCGGCCCCCACCCTGGACTCTGCCCCTTAATCACTATGACGTTAGTTGTACCCCCAAAACCTCCCCAAACGTCGGTTTCCATGTCTGCAAGAAAAAATGACGATGTCATCACGCCTACGTCCATGGGATCCTTGTGGGGCCGAAAGAACACAATCAGGGATCCAACAGCAGTGCCCAGAGCACAGGGCACACAGCACAGAGTAGCAGCTGCTGAGCTGTTGTAATTACTATAAATTTGCATATACCTCCCCAGTGTCACCCAGGAGAATCATTAACCGTCTTTAAGTAATTAACTCTCAGGAGCCACTCACCTGAGGGCAAGCTGCCTTGAGTTGACCAAGAGAAACAGCTTGATTCCAAATAAACATCCCATGATTCAGGAGGTCTGCCCTCCCTGACTTTTAATTTGGAGTGTGGACGCAAGCCACGTGCAGGCGTGGCACACACACACACACACACACACACACTTTAAAACCCTGCAGGTTTTCTCTAATCACGCCTTTTATAACTTGCCCGAGCCTCCTCCGGATGGCAGCCCCACGCTCTCCTTTTACTTCAGTTTCAGCTGCTTTGCGGTACTGATCTCTTTGAGGTCCACCCTAGGGCCCCCCCCAAGATGAATTTTGTTCGTGCTACATCATACCTTGGATCTAAGAGCATCCAAAACCCAGCAACACTTGATCTAGCTGCTTTCTGATCTAGATACAGAAAGCGCAACAGAAGCTTAAGTTTCTTTACTCCGCCCCAAAAGATTTCGGTGCATCTCCAAAACTATCGATAAGGCCCTAAGATGAGAAAGCCGGAGGGCTGAACCATGTTCCTTCTTCCGTCTGTCTCCCCAGCGGCACTTAGAAGCGGGTTTGCGGGCGCAGGAGTTGCAAGGCGCGCATGCGCGCACACGTCCACACGTCCATTCATCCATCACGCGGGCCAAGGGGCAGAGGAAGCAGTTGGTAACATCACTACGAACTCGAGTATCTGTGTCTGGACAAAAAGAGGCCCAGCAGATGCTTTCGTGAACCTGCTTCAAGGCTCTTTAAAAACAAACAAACAAACAAAAAAACCCCAAAAATCCGATTCCTCCAACCTGGAGGCATGTCCACATACCCTCCCCCTCCCCCTTTCGTCCTTGCCAGAGAATTCTCCTGCCGGTGGAGAGGAGGAGGGCAGGACCTCTGATTTTCTCCCTTCTGGTTCTCGCTTTTCTAAAGCCCCAGGGTAATGAGGAAGAAAGGAAGTGGAATGACGTGAGCCTCCTTTCCTTTACCTCATTCACAGAGACCCAGTGTCAACCGGGGAAGAAAGTTCAAGTCAAGGGCAAGGTGGCTGCTGGCCTCATTGTCCAGCCGGTACTCCCCCCACTCCCGCTTCTGCCCAGCCTGGTCCTCAACACAAATGCAGGCAGTGTTGGGAGAGGCCAAGGAGCCCTCAGCGACCTCTCCTAGAAGAAATTCACATTTCTTGGTTTCCCATGAGTCCCCATCAGGGATCTCCTCTGGTGGCTCAGTGTTTCCTGCTGTAGTGATATGTAGAGCTTAGTTTTCATGTAGGATTTCACTTTGCTCCCTAAGGGTGCTGTTTCCCCAGGAACTGCTGGAAAATTGTGGTTGGGGGTTTTTGGGATCACTTGTTATTTCTGCAGCTTTGGGCAGATCACTTAAGTGTTTTGAAGCTCTGTGTCCTCATCCACAGAACAGGATCTTATCCATCCCATAGTGGGCTTGTTGGGATGCAGTGTGTTGGATAACCTGGTGCGCAGTAGGCACTCAGCAGGGGCTACTGGCTGTCCTGCCTCTCCCCTCCTCCCTGAGTTAGAGCCTGGGGCATTCACAGGGCTGGGTTCCCAGCAGGGGGAGATCGGCTGGGCCTGGGCAGGGGTGGGGGTTACCCAGTGAAGTGAGCATGTTCTGAACATTCAGACCCACCCCGGGGCTCCCCCCCCCCCCGAGCCCGCCCCTGGCATTGCAAGCACACAGCTGTGCTGCCATTGTCACCGAGAGAAGGTGTCATTTCCCACACCAGCACTATCATGCCAGCGCCCCGCAGGCTGTTATTAATCATAATAATAACCGTAATGACGGTGATTGGAGTTTTCCCCCGTGGGCCCATTGCCAAGGGAATGGGACATCCCGGAGTGTCTGGGCCAGGCCTGGCATCCGACCCCCTCCCGGGTGTGTGCCCCCTCCCACCCTGGGCTGACAGCTGGGGAGTGGCCAGCATCCCTCCTCCCGGCCCAGCCGTCAATTGCAAACCACTGACACTTAGCTAGTGAGTCCAGAATAGGCAGCAGGGGCGGTCAGAAAGCCATCAGAACTGGGGTGCTCTCTCTTTTGGCAGCGGCACCCCATCTCACCGCAGCCCCCCCCCCCGCAAAGGCCTGGCTGTACCTGGAGAGTGTCCGCTGTCTCAGGCCATGGCCCTACCTTCTTACATGATGTTCTTACCTTGGGCTATAGTCTCAACTCCATCTCTGAGTCGTCAAGATATAAACATATCCTAGGTAATAATTCTGTCTAGTAATCCTGAGACCCTGGCAGCTGACACAGCCCTGTGTCAGCCTTGTGTGAGATTAATGTGCCCATTGTGCAGGTGGGAAAGTGGAGACTCGGGCATGCTCAGGGTCACATGGCTAGTAAGCAGCAGATAGGTCCTTAAGTTCCTGCAGGCATCCCCAGTTCTAGAAGCAAGAATTCACACGGCCCTGCCAACTCAAGGGCTTTCCAGTGGATTTGGGTCTGCTGTGTAACAAGTCCTATGTTACTGATGCTGAAAGACTAACATTTGGACCATTTCCTTATTTTCTATAAAAATGAGAACGGTGATTCTCAACTGGGGCCCTTCTGTCCCCATCCCCCGCCAGGATATTTGTAATGTCTGGAGACCTCTTTAGTTGTCACAACAGGGGAGGGGGGCAGACTGGTATCCAGTGGGGAGAGGTCAGGGATGCTGGTCAGAGCAGGCCCCCACCACAAAGAATGATCCAACCCCCAGACTCCTGAGACCTCTCTTGTCAGGGCTCTCTCTTTCCCCATGTGGTCCACAAGATAATCTTAAGGATGATGTTAATAAGCATCATCTATGCTAGTTCCTGTGTATGGTCATGGTAAGAAGTAAATGAAAAAACCCCATTTGTAGTAAATAATATTTGAGAGTTGCACTGTCCAATAACCCCCAGCCACATAAGACTATGTAATTTTAACTTTTTTTTTTTTTTTGAAGATTTTATTTATTTATTTGTCAAAGAGAGAGAGAGGACAAGCAGGGGAGCGGCAGGTAGAACAGGCAGAGGGAGAAGCATGCTCTCTGCTGGGCAAGGAGACCAATGTGGGACTTGATCCCAGGACCTTGAGATCATGACTGAGCTGAAGGCAGACGCTTAACCGACCGAGCCACCCAAACATCCGAAATGTTAACTTTGATTAAAATTAAATCAAATTAAAACTTTAATTCTTCAGTTACACTAGCTGGATTTCAAGTGCCCAATGGCCATGATGGCTCATGGCTGCCATATTGGATAGTACAGGCAGAGAACATTTCCATCATCATGGAAAGTTCTATGAGATAGTGCCGCTCTAGAAGGTGTTCAGATAGGGCAGGAGTCATGAATGAGTGCAGTTCAGGGAGCAGCGCATCACACCTGACGTGGCTCAGAAGTCACCCTAGGGGAACTGGAGAATCCAGCCAGCCCCAGGTCTCCACATTGTGGAGGCTCTGGACCACCATGATCTCACTCCTGATGGTTGGAGATATCCATCCCCATCCCCCATCACTGCCCCCTCTCCCTGTAGTAACTAACTGGCCCTTTCCTGGGAGTCTTGAGTCAGTGGAAACTTGTAGGAGATCTGCTCAGATTTCAGTCCCACATGGGAAACTCTGTACTTAACTAAAGTCTTACCACGTGAAGATAAATACAGAAAAAAATTTTTTTCCAGACACAATTTTATCTACAGTGAGGTCCCTCTTATCTTTGACACATTCCCCTGTTAAAATTTTTTCATATAATGCTTATCATTGTCTGTATTTTTCCTACTTATTTCATTTGTCACCCCCTTCTCCTACCAAAGCACAGGCTCCAGAAGGGCAGAGACCTTACACATTTCCTTCACTTCCGTGTTCCCGGTGCCAAAAACAGAGAGCTTAGGCATAGCAGTTCTCCAGAAATCCAGTGAATCCTCATTATTCGTGGATTCCATATTTGCGGATTTGCCTACTTGCTTCAACCCCTTTGCACCCCCAAATCAATATGGCAACTTCGCGGTCACGCCTGGCCATGCACAGAGTGGTGAAAATCCGCATCACCCGGTGTATGTGTTCCCAGCTGAGGTCAGACAAAGGGATGCCCTTCATTCTTGCTTGAGCTCTCATACAGAGAGGACCGGCGGACAGAGAAGACCGGGGAACAGAGACGGGAGGGGGCCATGCGGTACAGGAAGCCCTGGGCCTTGGGACCAGTGGGACAGAGTTTTGCAATTCTGGCACGTGGTTGTGGGGCCGCCCCAGACACATCACTCAGCACTTCTGAGCCTTGTTTTCTCTTCCTTAAAATAATGAAAATAGAATGTACTAGAATGAGCTGTTTTTAGGATTTAAGATTTACCCGATGTGAGGTGTGTGCGTGAATACATATTTCCTCTAGGAGCCATGATTCTGTATTTGCTAATTCACTCTTTGCAGAGACTTTATACAACATAACTGCCATGAATAACAAGACTCAGCTGTGTGGGTGGAATTAATATGCAGGAGGGGATGCCTCAGAGGGGGCGGGACCCGAGGATGGTTTGGGTCTCAAGTGTCTCCCTCCAGACCAGACTTCCTTGCCCCTTTTTTGCTGGGGCTTGGCCTCAAGTACACGTGCAGGCAGTGCCCAGTTGCAGGAGACGTGAGAAAGCCAGTGGAGGTGGTCCAGAGGCTTGGGGTCGGTGCTGGGGGACTGGTCCTCCCTGGGCTGGGAAGCGGGCTCACTCTGTGTTTTGCATCTCCAGGCGGGAGGACAAGCTACGCATCCAGAACGGCTGGCTCTGCCACCTGGCACCAGAGATCATCCGCCAGCTGTCTCCCGACACAGAAGAGGACAAGCTCCCCTTCTCCAAGCACTCAGATGTCTTTGCACTAGGGTAGGTGGCCCACGCTGGCCGTGGGGAGCCCCAGCCCAGGCAGAGGGGCAATTTCCAACCCTTCATTCTCTTCTTTGGGCCTAGGTGGTCAGTTTTCTGGGTGAGATTGGGGGTATCCAAGTGGGGTGTAGTGGAAACAATGACTCTAGCAAACCTCAATATGCCGTGTTTCTAATTGGTTACGTGGCAAGTCACTTGACCCATTCATTTATTTGCTGAAGCAATACGTATAGAATGCCTAGCGTTAACAAATTATCCAAAACTTGAGGGCTTAGAGCAACATCTGTGATCTCAAGTTTCTGTACTTGAGAAACTTTTGGGGGGGAGGGGTTGGTGCTTAGCTGAATGGTTCTCAGCTGGTTCGGGGTCTTTTGTGAGGTTATGGTCAAGATGTTGGCTGGGGCTTCAATCTCATCTGAAGGCTAGATGGGTTGAGGGTCACTTCCAAGGGGGCACCCTCACATGGCTATTGACACAAGGCCTCAGCAGGACTGGGGGCATAAAGGAGGAGCTAATCCCAGCCTGGGAGATCAGAGAGGGCTTCCCAGAGGAGTTGACTCTTGCACCTAAATTAGCAGTAGAATATAAGTGGGCCCGATGAGGGTAGGATGAGGTATCAGAAGGAACATGTGAAGAGGCCTAGGGTAATAGAATATAAATTTCCCACAAGGAAGGAACATGTGAGGAGTGGAGGGAGAGGGAGCTGAGAGCTGGAGAAGCAGGAAAATATGAGCTGGGGGTGGTAACAGGAGAGACTAGAATGGGAAATTGAGTCAATCTTACAGGGACTAAGAGGTTGTGTTAAGGAGTTTTCACTTCATCTTCACAGCGCTGGGGAGCCATTGATGGTTACTAAGCCAGGGGATGTAATAATATTTTGAGTTTCAGAATAATCATTCTTCGGTGCAGAGAATGGAAAGAAGGATGAGATTAGGAGGGTAGGTGGTGACCAATCCAGGGGGAGAGGCTGACATTCTCTACCAAATCAGGGCCAGTGGGTTTGGACCCTGGAAATGGATGGGGAAGGGTGGGGGGAGGATGGGGTCTGATGTTGGGTTGAATGTGGATGGTGCCCAGATACCTACCTTAGGCAACTGGGAGAGATTAGTGTCATTCACCAAGGTAGAGACCCTGGAGGGGACACCTAGGCTATGCTACGAGGGCAAAAAGAGCAGATTTGGACACAGGGAGTCTGGGCTACCTTGGAGATGGCCAATGGAACCAGCCAGAAGGCAGCTGTATCTACACAACTGGAGTTGTGGCTTCTCAGCTGTTTAGGGCTTCTCAGAGTTTAGGGCTTCTCTGCAAAGAGAGAAACTGCACTCATGAGAGAGAATGGGATGTCTTTGCAAGTATAGGGATGGATAGAAGGTAGAGGACTCAGCCCCGAGGTGCAGAATGAGGGCTCCAAGAGGATGCATCTGGGAAGGCTCCTAGGCTCCCATCCCTCAAATAGCCATGCTGATCTTTGCCTTACCTTACCCTGTCCACTGGAGCGGTTGCAAAGATTGCTGGTTACAAACAGAGAAAACGTTGGGCAAGCTCTTTGGCAAAGTGCAGCCCTGCAGGTGTGTCCAATTAGACTCAGCACCACCAAGAGATGTTAGAGAGACCATCGTCCATGGCAAAGTACCCCCACTATGTCTTCTCTGTAAAGCTCGGGGAGGAGGGATGGGGGGACGTTTGTGGGCACATCAGGATTCTAGACGTTCATCCCTTGGACCCCTTTAGATGTCATCGTTTGCCTTGATTAGTGTACGCCCAAAACTTTATCTAGTTAGATACTGTTATCTGAAACCAAGCTGCAGTAATTAAGTTGGTATATATTGTAGTATAAATTTAGCAAAAGAAACAAGAATGTAATTAACAAATGCACCAAAATAAGTAATTGGTTTTCCACTTGAGTTTTAATCTTTAGCAATTTATTTTTCTCTTAGTGTGAGTTTCTCTTGGAAGTTGGGTTTGAAAGGAAGTTTTAATGAGGCTTTTATTCCTGACACTGCTGAATTCTGGGGGACCTGGCGCTCTTGGTTTCCTGTCAATTAGGTGCATCTCGTTGCTTGGGAACATCATGCTTAGGCATGACTTAGAACAAAACTGGACTTTTAAAAGCCTTTGGAGCACTGTGTTTAGGTTTTTGTGGGTGCTGTCTCCTGAAATCTTCACAGGCACCCGAATGACAGGGGAGGGAACAGGCCCCAGGCGGCTCAGTGACTTGGGCGGCTCAGTGACTTGTCTTATGGTACTCTGGGGTGGATCTGGGAGACACCCTGGGACATCCTAACCCCGGAGTTGGAGGGTTTAGGACCTCAGAGTCATTTCACCGCAAAAAAGCCCTATTTCCCTCAACCGTAAATAAAAGATAATAAACCCAGCATGACAGACACTGAGGATCCAGCGAGAAAATGCCTGTAAGGCACCTGCACCCAGGCTCCTGCTATAGGCTCCCTTCCCTCTCTTCATGAGCCCTTGCCTGCAGTCTGTTTTGGGCCTCCTTCCCCAGGCCCTAACAGTCAGCTGCAGGGTTGCCCCCTGCCCCAAATCCTACACTTACTCTCACAGAGGACTCTGAAATAGGATCAATTGTAGTTTCCTCGTAGCGTAATGGCCAGGGTTGCAATTCTGTAGTCAGATGAAATGGATTCAGCTTTGCCTGCACCTCTTATCAGCTGTGTGGCCCTGGGTAAGATACAGAAGCTTCCCGAGCCTCAGTTTTCCTCTTCTGAAAAATGGGGATGATGATCATGCCTCCTGATTGAAAATGTAGGTCTTACTTTGATTTGGGTATTATGAGGGCAATCAAGTAGGAAGCAAGGATCATTGGAAAGATGGTTTGTTGTTCATGGTTTCCAAAAGCGGGGGGCAGGGGGCTGTAGCACATCATACCACACAGGGAAAGCACCAGGGTCAGAAGGCAGAGGGAGCAAAAGAAAAATGCCGGCAGGAGACTTCAGTGTGGTTTCCTCAGGGAGGAACCAGTGAGGTAGGGTAAGCAGGCTAAGATGGGCTGGTTTGACTAATGCAGTGGGCTCTAGGGTGTGGGGGTATCCAAGGTAGAGAATATGGGCCCTAGTGAAAGCCTGATGGAGGTGGGGGTAGGGCTTTTGATTGGTTAGTTTGCATATGAAAGATGCACTCTCAAGAGAGTCGTTGACTATCTCTAGGAATGAGCTGGCCCCTGGGGAGAAGGGCAGTCCCTCCAGGGCTCAGGGCGACCCCCAGATGTCAAATCACCAAAATACGAAAGCATGCTTCTCACACCTCCCCTGTAATCATAATAAATGCAAAGGGCTTAGAATAGGGTCTAGCCGGAGTCAAAACTCAGTAAGTGTTACTGATTATTACAATGATAACAGTCCTCATCTAGCACCTTACAGTGACAACTGCCTGGCCTCGTCACTCAACAGCCCAATATCTGAGCTTCACCCCTCCTTGCCCCAAAGGGATGAGTTTGGGGGGGGAGCCCGAGGGGGGGACAACATGCTGAGAAGCAGGACCCTGGAAATAACTGGTTTGACAGAGTCCTCTGATCAGTAAAGAAGATAACAGTGCTTCATGTTCTTTAAAGCAAATTTTCATAAATTATTTTAGATTAGAGGAAAGATCATTTCCTAAGGCTCGTTTCAGATATTTCCTGAGGTGGGGAATTTTGTTCCTGGTGAGCTGAGACCTAGTCCCTGCATACAGCTCAGTAATTCCCAGCATCCTGTGAGCACCCAATGGCGCCTGCCAAGGCCCTCCCTGCCACCCTTACCCCCCAGCATTTTCCCCCACTATTCCACGGGATGCCATATATTTAGAAAACAAAATTATTAAAAAAAAATCATATGCTATGACCCAGAGTTAGCCATTATTAATTAACATTTTGCTGTTTCTCTTTATTCTCCTGCTGATACATATATAATTTTTTAAGAGTAGATATTACTCGGGCACCTGGGTGGCTCAGTGGGTTAAGCCTCTGCCTTCAGCCCAGGTCATGATCTCAATGTCCTGGGATCGAGCCCCGTATCGGGCTTTCTGCTCGGCGAGGAGCCTGCTTCCCCCTCTCTCTCTGCCTGCCTCTCTGCCTACTTATGATCTCTTTCTCTCTCTCTCTCGCTGTCAAATAAATAAATAAAATCTTAAAAAAAAAAAAAAGAATACGTACTACCTTATATACAGTCTCCTATCCTGCTTTTTTCATTTAAAATTAAATAGTAAACATTTTTTCATGTTGGCAAAATTTCACTGAAGTGTTTTAATAATAATATCATATTCCATTTTTTCTGGATTTGCCATAATACATGCAATCTATTCCTTTCATTGAACAGTTGTGTCATTTCTCCTTGTTTTCATATTATATGTAATGCTGTACAGAATATCCTTGTAAGTGATTTTTTTTGTATCTCTTAAGTATTTCCTTACAGTGGTTTCCTAGAATTACAAGTGTGGGGTCAGAAATCCTAACCACATTCTATTATACTTTTGGGTTCTAGGTTTTGACTCATTTTAATTTAGGGGTAGGTTCAAGGTGTTCAAGGATACCAGGGAAGGTATCCTTGGACAAGCATGACTTCAAAGACATCAAGAAAGCTTTAGGTGTATCCGGCTAGCAAAACAACAGTCCCGTGAGGAAGAGACTAGAAAGTGGAGGGGTTAGGCAGCAGGAGGGCTGGGCAGATGTGTGTTGGTGAGGGGACACAGGGTCGTGAGTGACATACCATGTCAACAACCTCTTTTACATCTGCCAACAGCACAATATGGTATGAACTCCATGCCAGGGAGTGGCCTTTCAAGACTCAACCAGCAGAGGCAATAATCTGGCAAATGGGCACAGGCATGAAACCCAACCTCAGCCAGATTGGCATGGGAAAAGAAATCTCGGTAAGTCCTGGGACAGTGCTCTGGGGGACAAGGAGAGAGGTAGACACAGTTCAGAGCCACTTTTTTCCCGTGTGTTAAGGTTACGAATGCTTCCCCAGAGGGTGGCACAAAAGCCAGTCCACAGCCTTGTCAGATCACGTGATTTGGAGCTTAGGAGGGGAAGTTTCTGAACTATGCCTGCAATTCCGGCTCCCGCCTCAAGGGTGCGGTAGCACTTGTCCAGACTATTTCTAGCAATGAATCGCTGCATCAAGTAGAAAAAGTGAATTCCTCTTTTTCTGTTACTTTTAAAAGATATTCATTAAAATATTACCCATACTATGATTTTAATTTATTTGCTTCTACATAAGAATTTTTAAGTCATGATCCATCTCAGCATAAGATATACACAGAGAAGCCTGAGTATAAATTAATAATCACCCTCTAAAACACAGCAGGAAGAGTGCTGTCTTTTGATCAGAAGACACATAAATCAGGGAAGGAGTAATTACCTGGTATGTTTTTAAGGATTACCTGTATATAGGCTTTCCTTTCTCGGATGAGGTGATTATTAAAAGTAACCTCCAGGGGCGCCTGGGTGGTTCAGTGGGTTAAGCCTCTGCCTTCGGCTCAGGTCATGATCTCAGGGTCCTGGGATCGAGCCCCACATTGGGCTCTCTGCTCAGCAGGGAGCCTGCTTCTCCCTCTCTCTCTGCCTGCCTCTCTGCCTACTTGTGATCTCTGTCAAATAAATAAATAAAATCTTAAAAAAAAAAAAAGTAACCTCCAACGCTTTGACTTTGAAGAGCATTTATGGTTTTGGGATGTGGATAGAGACCTCAGGATACACTTTTCTCCCTCCCTTTGAGAAAAGAAAAATGGCCAAGAAACTCCTTGGGGAGCATTACTGACCTCAGTGTATCCTAGACCTTCTAGAACAGGACCTACCTAGTTTGCTCTATGGGCTCATGTGTTGGATGAGCGGATAGATGGATGGATGGAAGGAAAGACAGAAAGATGATGATGATAGATAGATGGATGAGGGTGAATGCATGAATTGGGATGGATGGATGGGTGGGTGGATAGATGGATGGATGGGTGGTTGGATGGTTGGGTGGATGGATGGTTGGGTGGGTGGGTGGGTGGATGGGTGGATGGTTGGAGGGTGGGGTGGGTGGATGATGGGGATATGTGCAAGTGGAACAAATGGGTAGACAAATAGACCCAATGAGATGCCAAGGGTATTAAGACATCACTATTTACACTAAATCACCACATGTTGTCTTCTTTTAGGACATTCTTCTCTTTTGCTGGGCCTTTGAACAAGAAGAAAGACCTACCTTCACTAAGCTCATGGACATGCTGGAGAAACTGCCAAAGCGAAACCGCCGCCTGTCTCACCCCGGGCATTTCTGGAAGTCTGCAGAGTAGGTGTTCTCCTTTCATATCTCTCCCCACTGCCTTTGTCCTCTGGCCTTTGCTGCCTTTTTGCTCCCCTCCCCCATACTTCTGCCAGCCATCTCCTTTCCATACACCCACCTTCCTCCTCCAGCCGCCAGCCTTCTTACTGGGTTCCTGTTCAGGGGAGTCTAGGGTCTACCATCCAGGGCCTTGGTCCCTGTTGCTACCATGGCTACCTCTTCCTGATGAAGGCTCATGCCCCAGGGAGTTTGATCATCAGGTGCGAGGTGATGGCCTTAACCCAACAAGCTCCATATGTCCGCTACACGGTGGATTCCTCCAGGAGGCCTGGCTTTCAGGAAATGTCCCCCTAGGGCCAGCAAGCTCTCCCCATCATGACATCTCACAGCTTCCAGAACTCTCTGTTGCACAAAGACAAGGGTAGGGAAGATTCTCAGCTTCTCCTGGCCATAAGTGTCTCTCAGGCTTCCTCCTTGGAGCCCTCCCCCTCCTCGTTCTTAGACCTAGATCAGTGGTTCTCAATGAGGTAATTCATGGGGCATCTCTCTGGGGGTCTCCCTCCCAGGCCCAGCCTTGTGGTTTCTCCAGAAGGTGAGAGCGAGACTGGCCTGGATGAGGCTTCCAAAAGGTCCCCGCTCCCGCAGTCCTGCTGTTCCAGGCACAGATGGTTGTGCACAAATCACACACAGCCAGGTGCGTGCACACACACACACACACACACATACACACACACGCAGAGACATACCACACAGAAACTTACGCTAAAAACACACCTGTATCCATATACGCACATAGGAGCACTTAGGGACACACACACGCTGCACAAGAACATTCCAGGAATACACAGCCCTGTGCTCAGGCCCATACCTGGAGGTGGACCTCAGGTGTACACACACACACACACACACACACACACACACACACAGAGTGACATGGCACACCAGAGCAGTTGTCAGCATCTCACCTGAGAGGCCCTAGGCTACCCCTCACCCCACCATTTGACCTTGCTGAGCCTGGAGGACAGGCCCCAGCGGCCCAGCCTCTCCCTAGACACTTAAAAAGAGCACAGACCTCCCATGTCAGGCAGATAAGGATTGGAACCTCCACTCCGTCACTTGATAGCTGTGTGGCCTTGGGCAGGTTACTCGGCCTCTCTGAGCGGCAGTGGCAGCCTCTAAAGAATGAGGGTGGCAGACTGACGGCTCTAGCAGGAGTGTGGTGAGATTGACGACAGCCCGGGCACTGGGGCAGCTGGTACAGTGTCCCCCCGTAGCAGGTGTTTTGTATACTTAAGCAGCCTTTGTCTCCCAGCAGGGAGGGTCAGCTGCATCCTGCTGGCCTTCCAGGACTGGGAATGACTTGAATGTGAAAACAGAGAGAGGGAGGCTCTGACAGGCAAGGACTCTCCCCAGCTAACCCAGTGCAGGCAAGTTGGCCAATGAGTGTCAGAGTCCAGATGGGGTCCCAAGAGTGCTTGGTGTTACAAACCCCAAGTGTCATTTGGGACATCACCCGTATGGCCTCTGCTTTCCCTGGCATCAGGGAGGAGAGGGCAGAAGTCAACTGAACAGAGGGGCTTAAAGCTCCCCGGTTGGAGGGAGAGCTGGGGGCCTTCTTTTCCATTTTTTTTCCGTACAGTTGGTCTGAGAAACAGGGAACTAGAGACCCTGTGGTCTGGCAGGATGGGATATTAGGGTCAGTAAAATTTTCTACTCATTCGCTTCCTTTTTTTTTTTTTAAGGTTTTATTTATTTATTTGACAGAGATCATAAGTAGTCAGAGAGGCAGGCAGAGAGAGGAGGAAGCAGGCTCCCTGCTGAGCAGAGAACCCAATGTGGGGCTCGATCCCAGGACCTTGAGATCATGACCTGAGCCGAAGGCAGTGGCTTTAACCCACTGAGCCACCCAGGCGCCCCCACTCATTCCGTTCTCTACTCCGTCTGTGTGTGTTGAATACCTGCTCTGTGCCAGGCCCGGTTCATGGAGTGCAAATCCAAGGGCAAACGCAGTCAGTCAGCTCCCTGACCTTCTAGAGCAGGTACAACAGGCAGGTAAATGTGTTTTAAAAGGGTCATCATTTCAGATGAAGTTGTGTTGAGAAGACAAGAAGACAAAATTGCAATAGGGATGACTGGAGGCTTTGGGTGGAAAGGAGGGGTCAGGGAATGCCCCTCGGAGGAGGTCATGTCAAGGCAAAGCCCTTGGAGGGAATCCAGGCCTCCACCTGGGGGTTTGTAATCCCCAGGACTTTTCTACTTTGATACCGAGAAACAAAGATGACTTCTGTTCCTTTTAGGCTTCGATTTATAGTGTCTTTTCGTATTCGGAGAGGTAATCCTAGGATGGATGCAGATGTGTGTGGCATCTGTGCTCTGTTCCTGCACCTGTGGCAGGCATGGTGAATCAATCACAGCACATCCATCATCGCTCACCCCTCCTGCTAGCCACCACCAGCTACTCAGAATCAATGCATGGGATGCCTTCAATGGACCTTCCAGATTGATCCAACCTCCTCCATTTGGAGAAACTATGGCCTAGAGACATTCAGGAACTCAACCACATCTACATGGGGTATTGACAAAGCTGGGAACACAGGTCAGGCTCCAACGTCCTAATCTGAAATGTTCTCTTCCCACAACATCAGACCCCTTGGCTCTCTCGATCGCACTCATCTGGCTTGGAGATGGTCACTCCAGTGGTGCGGTCAATGCTGGAGTCCTTCCAGAAGCCTGCTGTGTCATCAGGGGATTGGCAAAGGGCTTGGCTAAAGTAGGTCCTATCTAGGCCTTGGTAATCCATGGAGGGGGCCAACCAGGAGGTCTCCACAGCAGCCAACCTGTTGCAAGGACGTGAGCAGCTAACTCCAAACTTACGTCTGGGGCCTTGGGTTTGCCTCTCCAGTGGGTCACACTTGAGGAGCTGGGTTTTCCAGAATCCCTGTACACCTTGCCACATGGTGAACTGGAGAGAAGATTGGGACAAGCCTGCATTCCAGAGCAAGGCATCTTGAAGTTTCCTGTGCATTCCAGACCTGCAGGGGAATTGCAGATTCCCATTCTGTAGGTCTGGGGCGGGACCGGAGATTGGGCCCCAAGGTGATGCTGGTGTTGCTGGTCCACAGACCACACTCTGAATAGCGAGGGTCCAGATCTGTGCTGCCTGAGAGTGGCCACTCCCAACGTGTGGCTCTTGAACATTCAAAATATAGTGAGATGAGATGTCCTGTGAGTATAAAATCCACAGGAAATTTTGAAGACTTAGGATAAAAAAAAAAAAAAAAGGACATAAAGTAATTTGTCCCCATACACAGATAGGACTGGTGATACATTGAAATTCTAGTGTTTGGGATACATTGGGTTCAATAGAATATACTATTAAATTGACCTTTTTTTTAACCTTTTAAATATGACTAGAAAATTTATGACTTCCATGACTTGCATGGCATTTCTTTGTTTTAAAAAAAACACCTTTGTTGCGATATAGCTCACACATCATATGATCCTTCTACTTAAAATATACAACTCTGAGGGCTTGGGTATATGACATTGTTTTTACAAATGGTGGTAGAGGGACACCTGGGTGACTCAGTTGGCTGAGCATCCGACTCTTAATCTCCGTGCACGTCATGAGTTCAAGCCCCATGTTGGGCTCCACACTGGGCATGGAGCCTACTCAAAAAAAAAAAAAAAAAAAGTGGTGGAATATATATCACATACAATTTGCCATCTTAGCCACTTTTCAGGGTGCAATTCAGTGGCACTGATCACATCACGGTGCTGTGCCACCACTACCACCATTTCCAAAGCCTTCGTCCCCTCCGAACACAGACTGGACCCACTGAACCGTAACTCCCAATCCCTCCAGCCCCCAGTAACCTCTCCCCTATCTCCTGTCCCTGTGAACTTGCGCATTCTATGCATTTCATACACGTGGAGTCCTATGATATTTGTTCTTTTGTGCCTGGGGTCTTCACGTAGACTGTCTTCAAGATTCATCCACAGTATGATGCGTATTAGAACGTTACTCCTTGCCACGGCTGAGCACTAATCCATTGTACATATGTACCGTGTTTGGCTTGTCCTTCCATCTGTTGGTGGATACGCTGCTTGTTTGCACTCTCGCTGCTGGGAATAAGGCTGCCGTAACAGTGCCTGTTGGAGTCCCTGCTTCTGATTTTTTTCAATAGCACTGCACCATTGCACGCCATCGGTCCAGATCTTCCCCGTGACCACCAGCATGCTCTCCATCCTCTGGGTACCACTTACCAAACATATGTGACAGGCACTGGGTTAAGCATTCTATCTGCATTGCCCTGCTGACTCCTCGGAGCTCCCCCTAGGAGGGAGGCACGATTATGTTTCTCCTTAGAAGAAAACCAAAGCACAGAGAGGCTAAGTACCTTCCAAGAGGTCACACAGCTAATGAGGAGAGGAGGCTTTGGAACCCAGGTTGGTCTGGACCCTAAATCCATGATCTTGACACCTCTACCCCGCTGCCTTCTACACAGAGATTACCTGTGTACCTTCAGGGTTCTTTCCAGAACCTTGCTGGAGAGTGGGCACTGACATATGCCATGATTGCCCAGATCCTTGGTTCAACAGTGGTCAGCAAAGCCTCTGCTCCTAGCAGGAGTGTATGGGGTGGTTCCTGGTCTCACCTCCTCTTCCTGTATTTCCAGCCCTTATGGAGCCCTTCCAAGTGGGAAGAGTTCTAGGTTCCAATCCTGACCCTGCTGCTTCCTGGCTGTGCACCCTTGGGCAAAACACCTAACCTCTCTGTGCCTCCATCCTATACCCCTCTGTGAAATGGGTGTAAGGTGCCTATCTTGCAGGTTATTCTCAGGTTCAAATGAGATTAGGTCCGTGAACCAGGTACATAGTAGGACCTCGGTATAAAGGGGTGTTCCTTCCACCATTTCTTATAGACGGGAAGAGCTCTCATCTCAAGCCTCCTAGCCCACCGAGAGGGTGCTGATTCACCAAAGATGGCATTGCTGTATCCAGTGACCTCGTGCCCTTCTCTTCTCTCCCCACTCCAGGCTGTGACCATTGGACAAAGGGACAGCACTCAGCTGCCTCAGCCCCCGAGCCACCTCTCCTTCCCTGCTCTGCCCTCTGCCAGCTCAGGAGGCCAGAGGCTCACCATCAGAGGGTACCGACCCCGGCCGGCCTGGGAGCACTGCACGACCAAGTTCGGCAGCTTCCCCACTCCCCAGACCTGTGCCCTTTTGCCCGGGCAGGGTTCGGGACCCCTGAGCTAGGACTTACCAGGACCAGCCAGGGAGAAGTGGGATTGATGCGTGAGGCCCAGAGACCGTGTCGAGAAGAGAACTGGAGGCTGTAGGTAGAGCCCCTGGGCCATGGAGACGAGGGCAGGAGGCCCGCGTGGGCAGGCTTGCAGGACCGGTCTGTGTGTACATGTGTGTCTCCGTGCGCGACACCGTTTGCTCTCGATCCCTCGCGACAAGCAGGAGCGCCCTGCCACCACAGCCCTGGAGCGCCCCTTGGCTGACTCATTCCCTGGGTTGTGGGTTTCAGCTGCACTGTCTGGAAAGATGGGGTGGGGTGGCGGGCTGAGCACCCACCTCGTGGAGGCCACGGGGCCAAGACCTGGGCTGGGGAGCTCAGTTGTTCCTTTGTAAACATCTGTTCTCAGAGGCTCCCACCCAAGCCTGTCATGATCTGTGACTCCTTTGCACATAGCTCCGAAGTGCACAAAACAGTCTTGCATGTCTTTGAGTTCTGGGCCTCTCTGGGGCCTGGGTCCCCATTTCTGCCACCTTCTCCAGTTCTGTGAGAGCGCCGTCCCTTTTCGCCTCACTGCCCCTGCGCTCCCCTGCTGTTTGAAAAGCACAATGGCTTCCTGGCCAAGATGACTTCTGGGGGCTCCTTGCAGCTCGCCTTTATCCTTGACACCCCCTGAAGTCTGGGGCCTGAGAATCGGGGGTCTGGGGAGGAAGTTCTAGAACATTCTTTCTCTCTCCTCCTGCTCTGGCATCGACACCAGCTAAGTTTGTCCACCACAGCGACAGATGTGGGTCCTTGATCGACGTGTGTTGGATTATATTTGCAAAGGATTCCCCCACCCTTTCACCCTTAGTAAGTCCTCTTGGGGAAGCAAGCAGGGAGACTGTAAGAGGGTCTGCATTCTTAGCTCCTACCTGGTGCCAAGTCCCAGAGCGGTTTCCCCATGAGAGGTCTGTCTGCGCTTGCTCAGTGTACATGCCTTCCATCCCTCCCTCTCGCTCCCTCCTGAGCTGGTGGATTTTCCCAGCCGCCTTGGGACCAAGGGTTATGCAAGAAGGATCCAGGAAGCAGGTCGGGCCGGCAGAATAACATGGCGAGCCTCTTGTCTTTTGTTCTTAGGTCCCAGCCCTTATGAGGGGATGTCTTCTGATCACAAAGCCTGTCTGACCTGGCAGGGAAAAGAAACCTGTCCCCCAGCAGGGTGGTAGCCAGGCAGCTGGGCAGCAGACAGGATGCCCAGGGTAAGGCCACGGCCTCACTGTCCTCCCTAGGCACTGCCCAGGCTTGGTTTTCTTCTGGTCTCAACCTTATCCCGACATCCCCCTGCCAGAGAGGGGACCTAAGACTTCAAAAATCCTACCCGAGCTCAGACTCAGCATCCCACCTGATGTAAGGGGTGCGTGGGGGTTTTCCCCACTTTGGGTGATCCCAGAATGATTCATGCTGTGGGGGCCAAGCCTGCTTCCAAACTGGGAAAAATAATGAGATGGTCATGCTTCTGGAACCTCTGGCCAAGGGGTATGCCTGAGCCTCCCAGAGGGCCTTCCTGCATGGGCTCCCACCTGCACAGGACCAGAGACTAAAGACACCCCTGTGGGCTATTCCTAAGTGGATGTTCCTCTTCTGGGGACTTCCATGACTATGGTTCCTGGCTCAACACTTGTGTATCTCGGGCCGCACGAATCCCAGCAAGCCACCTGAAGGGCCAACCCTGAACATGGGCTTGGGCCTGCCTTGGCTCTGCCCACCGGCTCCCCAGAGACCTGGAATCCAGTCCTGGTTCCTCTAATCCAACCGGGACTTCTGGGGTCTGTGGATCCCAGTCGTCATTGAGGACCTGAGTGCGGGCAAGGAAGTAAGGACGGGAAGGAGCCGGCAGGACGCGGCAGCCCTGCTGGTGGAACGCTCACCAGGACTGCTCCTTCCTGCCGCTGTCGTTTCCAGAATTCACTCACATGGCCACCTAGAGCCTTTGGCAAGACCTGCGTTGCGAGTGACCGTGGGGGAGGGTCGCCAAAGGCTGATTTTTCTGTCTGTTTTATGAGTACCAGCTTAAGATTCAGGACAAGGTCTGAGGGATCCAGGGGGATACCCCAGCCTTCCCTGCTCCCCAGGAGCGTCTCTGCTTTGCAAAACAGGGTTCCTTGCATCTGTCCTTGGCCCCACGTCACCTGCTCTTGACTTCTCTACCTTCACCTGCGTCTTTACTTTGCCCTCACCTTCCTCGGTCTCCTTAGCATCCAGACTTCCAAAGCCCCTTCCTGCCACCCTCCTCCTGGCGACACCACCCTGAATTGTTTAGAAGGTAGTTTTCGTTTGCAGACATTGCAATTCAGGAAGAACCAAACCTCTGCTTTCCCCGCTGACCTCAGTCTTATTCATGAGTCAAGTACTGGGAGGAGGTCACATTCATTCATCTTCTGCGAGGAAAAAGAAAAAACAAACGGGAGGGTTGTGTGTGTGTGTGTGTGTGTGTGTGTGTGTGTGTTTACATAGTACTTGCCAGTCTCGCCTGTGATTCATTCTATAGAATCCACACAACAAAGACTGTGTGTGTGTGCACTTGTGCCCTGTGGCCGACAGCGAGCTGTTTATCTCTGGGCCCTGCTTTAAGCAAACCCTTACCTACATTGGCTTCCCAAGTGCACCAGTCCCCAGAGTGAAGATGCCTGGGAAGCCTTGACCTTACCTTCTCGGAAGGGCACATGGATTTGCACCCTGAATGCTACCATTTCTTAGACCACATGCATTTCCTACCATGGGGCCCCCCTTTCCAGCCCCCTTTGGTCATATGTGGGGATATCCCCAAGTATGAAGCTGGAGACTCAAAGTCTTTACCTAATGGTGTTTCATCCGGGTTTTCCTTTTGCTGGTCAAAGGGGAAACCCCCATCTTGCCACAGAGCCCTCCTTTTCCTGGCTCTTTGGTCCATAGGAGCCCTGGATTGGTCTCTGACAACGAGACTTTTGTATCCAGGATCCCTGGTCCTGCCCCTTTCCCACCCCACCAAACCAGGCTTCATTTCCTCCCACCGTTTTTGTCCCCCACCCCTGCCCCCCCATTGCCAGTGGCCGATCGTCTAAGGAAACACCAAGGAAATGGTATACACTTGGCCCAGGCCCAATCCCCATCTTGTGAAATCTAGACCTGAGGTCAGCAAAGTCTGGCCCAGGGCCATATGCAATCCCCGCCCCCCCCAAGAAGTTTTTACGTTCTCTAATTGGGGGAAAAAAACAGAAGAAGATTTCATAAGACATGAAAACTCTATAGAATTCAAATGTCAATAAATGAAATCCTATTGGCATGTGGCCATCGCCATTCATTTGCAGACAAACCACGGGTTTTGTGGGCTATGGTGCCACAGCTGACTAGTTATGACAGAGACTGCGTGGCCCATAAAGCTGGAAATATTTATAACCTTGCCCTTTACAGGAGACACTTGCCAACCTCTGATCTAGGGGACTGGCTTAGACTGGCTTACTGAAAAAGAAGCCAACTCGCATAGGGCTCCCAAGGGAGGAACATGAGCCAGACTGGGAGTTAGAGGGGGCAGAGAACTCATTCCAGTGGGGAAAGAACTTTCTAGCAGCTTGACCCTCGATGCGAGATAGGCCGTCTTGGGAGGTGGGAAGCTCCCTGTCCTTGGAGAGGGCTGGGCAGACGTGAGGACTGGTTTGTGTACATGATGTAGAGGGAATTGGGGCTTTGGAGGATGGAAGGAGCGGTTGGTTCTATTTCAGACCCTATTACGTCCAGGCTGGCATATAATAAGATACCTTAGGTGGGGGGACTTCCACGGCAGGAGGTGATGCTTCACAGTTCTGGGGGCAGGACCGGTTTCTCCTAAGACCTCCCTCCTCGGCTTTCAGTCATCCTGCCTCTCGCTGTGTGCTCTCGTGGCCTTTTCTCTGAGCCCGCACCACCCTGGGGTCTGTTTCTCTTACGGGACACTAGTCGGATTGGATGGGACCCCTTCCTTAGGACCTAATTTCATCTTAGTTACCTCTTCAAAGACCCTATCTCCAGATACAATCACTTTGGTGGTTGGGACTTCGACCTAGGGATCTGGGGGCTAGGGGGAGGTGTGCATTGCGGCTGGGGGGGGGGGCACAATTCCATCCTATTCCAATTCCATGAAGACCCTTGATGTTCCTGAGACTGTGACTGTAGAGACTTTCTGGGCGACACTTCTATTCCTGGCTTTTGTTCCCACATTGTGCTCAACCTTGAGTCCCCAGATTTGCCCTCCCCGTCCCCCTGCCCTGCCAGCCTTCCCTGATCCCCTCCCTCCAAGGACTGGTCTTGTTCTGGAGGCTGGAAGCCTAAAATCAAGGTGTCAGCAGGGCCGCACCCTGATCCCCCCCACCTCTGCCAAGGGGTCCTTCCTTGGCCTCCTCTTCTTAGCTCCTGGTGGTCTGCTGGTCGTCTTTGGCTACAGATGGATCTCCCCACCTCTGATTCCAAACTCACACGGCCTTCCTCGTGTAAGGCTGCCACCCTTCTCAAGCTTAACCTCACCTTAACTAATGACACCTGCAATGACCCTACTTTCAAGTAATGTCACATTCTGAGGGACTGGGGTTTAGGACCTCAACGTATGTATTCTGTGTGTGTGTGTGTGTGTATGTGGAAGGGACATGATTCAACCCCTAACACCCTCTAAGAAGCTTTCTCTCATGCCTTGACTGGTCACTGTGGTCACAGAAGACCTCTGGGGAGAAAGATCCCAGAACCCCCGCGCCATGAGGGTCAGGACACTGATGTTGCTTTTGTCACATGGGATCCCTTCATCCCTAGGTCTAAGAGTCCTGAACGTCAACTCCATGGGTGGGGGTGGACAGGCGGGTCTGTTGCGTGACGTGCACTTGACCGCTGGGCCAGTGCTTCTGCCCAGTCTGAAGTGGTTAGTGGCATGACACTTGCTTTTATTTACTCTCTTGCTCAGCGGCAGAGGAACGGAGCATGGCAAGCCGTGTGCCTGCCTTGTCCTTCTTCGGCCGTGCCTGTGAGGTTTTGAGCAGGCTCGGGTGGATGCCGGCCTGGGCTCCAGCCTCCGCTAACCGCCCCCTGCAGCCATCAGCTGCACACCCTTGCAAGGGACTAGTCCTGACCTCTGAGGGCAAGGAGAAGCAAATGCAGGTTGGGCTTCAAAACATGGTGACCAGGGTCTTGAAGGTTCTCGTTCTCCCCGACTCTCTCTGAGTCACGCCAAGTGGGCCACCTTCCTCT